TCTTATTTTGTCGAGTCAAAGGGCTCGAGTCCAAGTGAAGTCACGAGTCACTGATGTTAAAGTCCAAGTCGAGTTGCAAGTCTCTTTACATTTTGCCAAGTCGAGTCTAAAGTCATCAAATTGATGACTCGAGTCCGACTCGAGTCCAAGTCATGAGACTCGAATCCACACCTCTGCTTTCTATTGTTTCATTTTGCATTCTAGTCTAACGGGGTGATGATTTAAATCTACATCGCAACAGGCAATTCCAATTGTTTTTCAATTCCGATGTTAAACACCAATGACACAAAACACCACCAAGTATTATAGGGTCGAATTTATAAAACAAAAAAATACTTTAAAATGTATTTAAATTTTAAAGGAGAGCTTAAATTACTCAGAAATACATGGCGGAACAGGAAAAATACTTTTTTTCAAATTTTTTTTTTTTTTTTTTCCAAAATTATGTGAGGTTTAATTTTAGTCAACCGCCATACAGAAACAAACACTTTTTCAATGGTTCTAATATATTTTCCCACTGATTCGCGTGTCTTTCTGTAAAATCCAAACATCCTTTCTAACAATTACACTTAGAGTAATAAATAGCAACCAGAAGACGAGTGACTCAGGCTATTTCAAACGCGAGTCTCTCGTCTGAAGCCGGTGAGTCATACAGTAAAAGCGGGTTCTTTGTAACCACTTTCTCCTGCTGTTCAAATGATAATGGGTCGGGGCCTGATAAAATGCCAACCATTGTGCCGAGGACACAGGATGAGCATGCTTTAAAAGGTCAGCGAGCTGGAGGACTCCGACACGTTAGTTACCAGAGAATTTAGAGAAGAGGGGGGAAAGAGAAAGAACAGACAAAAAAAAAAAAAAAAAAAAGAAGCAAAGATTTAAGGTTAAAACGACCAGAGAGTCATTTGTTATTCTGAAAGAGTAGCCAAATATACTGCACATTTAAAGCCCCAAAATGCAAAACTCCACTACCCATTTGCCGTGCCCCACTGTTTGAGAAGTACTGCTCTAATATAAGTCACTCCAAATACAGCTGCCTATCTTCATGTGACATATGCCTGTAGGCAGCGTGCGATAAAGACCCCCCCTATGCTGTGCAGCCATGTATATAACTTCCAGACCCCCCCCCCACTACCACCCCCCACCAATTCTGCCACCACCGACAATAACAACAAATGTTACCATGGCAGCAAAGCCACTAAACCTTGTAATTAGCTGGCTTACATCTCTGAGGACTGGTTTGATATAACACGTTGCTTTTAACAGAATAGGGAAAAAAAACCCACTGACATGTGCAGGATTCGGTACAGCCCCGTCTGTTTGAGGACATTGTCAAGTGCAAAAAAAGCATGATGCGTTAATACAGAGACTCAAGTGAACTCCGTGAACCGACGTAATTCTTCTGGTTTTTATCAGCAGACAACGACGAATGCATTCCTTCACGTAAACTGCAGATGAATCAATTGGCGACCTAAGCTCACGACGACAACAACATCCTCCACTGCGTGGGCAATGGCCGTTTGAGTGTGACGCAGTATACGCCGAAACACTTGTACGTGGGCAAGTGCTAAGTGTGTGTACAAAGTGCAGGGAAAACAAAAGCTCTCCGCAGAGTGATGCTTTAATATTGCAAGCCACAGGACAACAGCGGCCCTGAGGCTTGCGATATTATGTTCTCCATTTACTGCACTCCGCAGCTCAATTAATGCTATACGACGAAGGTTATGAGCAATGCGTTTCATACAATATGAAGACAAATTCAGATAGGAACTCTGGTATACGTATGTCATGAGATCTGGGTGGAGATATTCTCTGGTAGTTCTTGGCTCAAACCAAAAATGAGACCACGGTAGTTTACATTATTGATGCACCCAAATTAAAATTCTTGGCTCAAACCAAAAATGAGACCATGGCCGAAAACCGAACAGATCTCAGTTTCACCCCCTCTTCAAATTTTTGCAAATCACCACGGGTCTTTTTCTCAGAT